CCAGAGCTGTAGCTTTTTCCATCATTCTGTTCTGCCTCTTTGTAAAGGAGGGCTACAGAGAGCTAAACTTCCTCAATCCTTCTTATAGGATTTTAGGTTTGCTCAACTTCAGTGGGTTAGCTTTGGCAAATGCTTAATCCCAGGCTATTAGCTACCTTGTCTCTTGCATGTTGGTCACAATTAGGAAGGTAACCAACCTGCTGCACTCCTCCCAACTGATTTTACAGAATTGGAAGGCAATGCAGGTCAATGAAATTCAATCCTTCTTTCCCTCACCACTACTTTCTAGTCATTAGATGCCCTCTGTGCTGACCACCAGATGGTCAGCCCATTAAACCCTGAACTGGTGGACAATGGACTTAAATTCTTTTCTATATTGACACGAAATCTGTTTCTTTATATCTTCTGATGTTTCTTGATTCTATCTCTTCGGCTCAAGAAAGTTCTACACAGATAAAATTTGCACCGTGTTTGAGTTCCCTCCCTTCCGAGTGTTTTTTCCTCCAAGCTACACATCTGGCTTTCCCCCACCTGGTCCTGATATAATCTTGTTTCCCACTCTTCCATCTCCTGGATACCCTCCTTTGGACACACCTTCAGTGTTTCAATATCTTCTCACAGCTATGTGAATTTGGGCTAACCACTTCACCTCTCTGAGCCTTGGTTTCATCACCTGTCAAATGGGAATAATAATAGGCCTACCTCATAGGGGTGTTGGCAAATCAAATGAAACAATGTATGTAGAGTGCTTAATACAGTACCAAACACACATGGGAGTCCAGAGTATTCTAGATCAACCTAACCAGCATAAAATACAACCAGACTAGCATTTTCCATCTCTCAACATTCTACATACAATAAAAAGTAACTCCACTACTTTTCAAAGCATCTTTTGGTTATTCGTGGCTTTGCATGAATACCATGGCTTTGCTCTACTAGCATAGATATTTGAGACTATCTTGTTCTAGTGCAGTTACCCTCCCACTCTCTCCAAGACAGATCTGTAGGCCGAGGGCAGGTCCCAGAAGTGACAGTGGAGCTACTGAGAAAGGGACAGGGGAGAGAACAGGTTGTTGAGAATATTGATTTCCAGAGCTTCAAGGCTATTTACCCCATGATATAGTGGAAAGAGCATGGGGTTTTGTGTACATATAGACTGAAGTTTGAATCCTGGTTCTGCCACTTTCTAGTTGTGATCCTAGGCATTATTTAATTTCTCTGAGTCTCAGTTTCCTCATCTGCAAAATGGGGCCAATAATATCAACTTCATAAGGTAATTGTAAAGATTAAATGAGAAAATGTATGCAAAACACCGAGTGGTGTCTGATACATACTAGGTTCTCACTAAATGCTGATTTCCTCACTCTCCTACTTTATTTCTCTGCAACTGGCAGGAGCTTATTCCTTGGGCTTAGATTCATCAGGAATAACTCCTCCTGAATGGTTATTTTGTCCACTGGAAACAATGCCACTTTACATGTGTGGAGTGCTTTATAACTTACAAAGCACTCTCACATGTGCTATCTCACTTGAACTTTATAATCTTGAGGCAGACAGAACGGGGGTTATTATTCCCATTTTACAAATAAAAGTGAGCAGAGAGAAGCGACTAAGATCACAGGGCTGTAGAACAGTGAAACTGGGAGTCATCTCCTTACTCCAAGCTCAACATTTCTTGCACTGTGCGCTCTCTGATCTTTAAAAATTGTTTAAGCAACTGTTGGCTTGGATTGGCTGAGGCTAAGGATCCTCAAAGCCATCTGTTAGCCCTCTTCACTTGCTCAACCTCATTTCCCATGTCTCCCCTTTATGAACAGTTTGCTTCAGCAGCAATTTTGTCTGCCTTGCCCCCTAATTAATCATTTCTTTCACATGCCATTTCCTTGGTCTGCAACTAACCATCTTTTCTCTTTGCCCAGATACCCTGCTTAGAATTTGCAGCCTTCCAGAGCCAGAATGGCTTCTAGGATTGGCTGTACCTGCCTGGCTTCACACCCTTACTCATCAGCCCCTCAGACTCAGAGTGGCACTGCCCTACCTTGCACTTGACGACAGGCAGCTCGGAAAGAGGGTTCTTCGGGAGTTGGTGCAGCTGTGACCTTGGTTCCCCCGGCAAGACAAAAAGCTCCTTGAGGGCAGGGGTTGGGTCTTCCAGTTCTCTGGTCTCCCCAAGACAGGGCTCTGCCCACAGTGGGCGATCAAAGCTGCTGATTGCCTGACAGGGGGATGGACTGGATGACCTATGAGGTTACACTCAGCCTCCTGACTCTGCTATACAAGCACGACACCTGCTTCAGCCACTTTGTGGTCCTTGCCTCCCCAACATGCCATGCCCTGTTGTGCCTCTCAGCCTTTGCACATGCTTCCTTCTGGAATGCCACTTTCCTCCTCCTCTACCTGGAAAACTGCTATTAATCTTTCAAGGACACAGTTCATCTGTCACCTCCTCTGTGAGGTATTCCCCGCCAAATTTCCCAAACAGAATTAACAGCTCCCTCGTTGATGTTTGCGTAGCATTTGTTCAACAAATATTTACTGGGAGCCAGCTTTGCTCTGCTAGGCACCAGGGAAACAGATTAATCAGCTAGTCCTGCCCTCAAGGAGCTCATGGTCTAGTGGGAAGACCAATGAGTAAAAAGACAAGTTGACTAGAGTGTGACAGGTGCTGTGATGGAGACAGGCTGTGGGAGAACAAAGATAGTCAGGGGAAGCTCCCTAGAAGGGACTCCTAAGCTTCCATCATGGCACGTTGCACAGCTGTACAATAATAAGTGACTATCTCTAACTCCCGCCAGCTCCTCGGGAGCAAGTACATTCCTTCCTTACTTTTGAACACTTGATTTCTAACGTGGTGATTCACATATAGTGTTTGTTGAAACGAACACATTTAAATTGAATGGCCACAGTTAGCTTTCCAGGCCAAAGGTTCTGAGAACTTAGTCAGCAGAAAGAAAGACATCTGACATCTTTATTGCTAGGAAGAACCTCTAGGTACAAGATGGTCCTGATACCCTTCTATCCCAACTACCTGTCCCAGCATTTCTGTGTCCCTAGGGCCTAGAACACTGCCTGGCACATGGTACGTTCTTGATATGTTTGAAGGAAGGAAGGATGCAAGGGAGGAAGGAAGAAAGGAAAGGAAGGAAGGAAGAAAAGGAAGGAAGGGAGGGAGGGAGAAAGGAAGGGAGGAAGGAAGGAAGGAAGGAATTCTTCTGGAAAGGAGTACTTACTGCAGGATAGACGTGGCCAATCTGAGCGGTCCTCCCTATGTGCAGCTCATCTTCGTCCTCCTCTTCTGTTGTTTTCCTATACACTGGGTTGTCAAAATTCATGCTTTTGGTGTTCTTCCGCTTCCAGTTTCTCCAGATCAGGTAGCCACTCATGCACAGCAGGGCGATTACAGCTGGAGGAAGAGACACGTTACATTGGACCTCCAGCAGGCTCCAGCCCATTGCTCAGAAGTCAGTGCCTCACTTGCCAGCTCTCTAATTCTACTGCCTTGCTCCTCAGGCTCTGTTTCTGCATGTTTTTTTTTCTGCTGCTTGGAAGCCCTCCTCCCATCTCTTCCTTTGTAAACTACTCAGCCTTAAAGATCCAGCTCAAATGGAAAATGTCTTGCTCAACTTCTCAAGGTAGAGTCAATTGTTCCCTCCCATGTGTTCCCAGGCCATGGTGTCATAATTTATATATGTGTACCCACAGCGAGAGCCCTTTGAGGGCAGGGACTAGGTCTTCTTTCTCTCTCTGTGCCCAGTGACTCACACTGAGTGGGTGCTCAGTAACATGTGCTGAGTGAATGAGTGAATTTCTTCACCTCACCTTTGCCCTAATGCTGCTGCTTCCCTGGGTTTCCCTAAGAAAACTATACTCTCCCCACATTGGAGGGGCTCTGCAAGAAGAGGAGCTTCTCTAGAAAAACACAGAGCAGGGAAACACAGGCTCTGAGTTAGAATAAATGACTATATAATGAATGAAGGAAGATGTTCTCAAACAGAGCTGGGCAAAAAATGGGGCAAACAGCTTCATGAGATAGTAAGCAATCACCCGGAGCATTCACGTGGAGGCTGGATAACAGCTATCCAGGATACTATAGAGGGGGTTTCTACTTGGGTAAGATTATAGTAATTGGTTATAATAATTGATACCCATTAAAGACAGAAACAAAGCAAGGATGCTTGTCATCACTGCTACTGTTTATTGTCCCGAAGATCTAGCTATGCAGTAAGACCAGATAAAGAATTGAAGGGTACACATATGGGAAAGGGAGAAACCAAACTGTTATTCTTAACAGATGTTGTATGTTCAGGAAACTTCAAAAATCAGATGAAAAACTTTTAGAAATGATTTTAGTTCATCAAGAATCCACATGAAAAAAATCAATATATTAATCAGCAATAACTAACTAGAAAATGGAATGGAATAAGAACATGTTCATAATAGCTCAACAAAAACTATAACTACCTGGGATAGCCTTATAGGAAATGTGCAAGTCCTATATGATCTACAAAATTCTACTGAAGAACGTAAAAGAAGGCTCAAACAAATAGACATGTCCTATTCCTTGATAGGAAGCTTCAATATTGTAAAAATGTAAATTATCTCCACATCAATTTACATATCCAAAGAATAAGATTCCATCATAATTTTTATAGGGTTAACAAGAAAATTCTGAAGTTCATCTAGAAGAGAAATGGAATAAAAATAGCTAGGAAAATGTTGCGAGAATAATAATGCCCTATTATACATTAAAACATATCACAAAATTGTGCTTCTAGTATATAGGAATAGACAGATAATTGGTGGAAGAGAATAAACAGCCTAGAGGCAGATCAAAGTATGTATAGGCATGTAGTTTATAATAAAGATGACAATTCAAGTCAGAAGGGAAGGAAGAACTATTTATTCAATAATGGTCTTGGGAAAACTAGACAGGCATGTAGGAAAAAAATAGTTAAATATCTCACACCATACTCTAAAATAAATTCTAAATGGAGTAATATCTAAATATGAAAAATGTTTAAAATAGAAAAATATTTTAATAACTTAGAGCATGGCAGACCTTTTTGAGCAAGATATCCAGAAATCATAACACAAAAAATTAATAAATCTGATACTTAAAAATTTTAAATTGATTCATGGCAAGAGATACCATAAACAAATTTCAAGTGGCAGTATGGGAGAAACTATGTGTTGCAAAGGTTTAACATCCATTATGTATAAATACTTTTACAAATGAGTAAGAATAAGACAAAGAACCAATAGAAAAGATCGTGAATATGCAATTCATTAAGAATGAAATGTAAATGGCTAATAAGTTTATGAAAATCTATTGCACCTCACAGGGAAATATCAGAGAAAGAATGCTCATTTTTTATCTCTCTGATTAGCAGAAATTTAAAAAATTTGATTACATCAGTGAAACAGCACACACATGCCCTTCTATAGAGCAGAGGGTGTCAGGAAGGGATTGATTTCTTTTTCACTAAACAATGTCAGTATTTTCTACTCACTCCACTCAAAATAAGCCTGGAATAGTCTCGCCATCAACTTTACTGCTGAAGCCTTTCAAGGTTAATTCAAATGCCATCTTCTGCAGAAATACCATGCCTTCTCCACTGTGCCTGTTACAGCACATTATAATATGTATTAACACCTCTCTTGCGTCACTTTTTTAACGACTAAGTCTGATTAAAGACTGAAAGCTCTTAAAGTCTCTTATCTTTTTCTTTCCTGGATCCTTGGCACTTGGCATAGTCCCTTGCACAGTGCAGAAGTTTCTAAAACCTTCACTCACTAACTCACCACCATATTGGGGATCCCCAGGATAAGCATGCAAAGCAAGTAAGGGAGATAAACCTATGAATGGACAATCACAATTCAAAGACCCCGCCAAGAGATGAGACTGGTATGAGAGACAGGATACCATTGAGCATGGGTGTGGAAGAGAATGAATCAGCCCCATGGTTCCCTGTGAGGCTTAACCAAAAGTTATATTCTGGCCATACTGAACGCCTAGTTCCAAACCCGCCCCCACACCCCCCATGCCAATTCCCGTTACTGGCTTTGCTCATGCTTCTTCACTGCTTGGGTTGCCCTCGCTGCTTCTTCACTTGGGTGAGCCAGTTCAAACGTCATTTCCACTAGGAAACCTTCCCTGCCCACTTACCTTCTCTCCCAGTTCTAAGCTAAGTGCTCCTCAGCACTTCCGTTAAACCACCTCTGGCTTAATTTTAGGACTTGCCATGTCATAATCAAATTATCTGTGTTACGTGTGTCTCTCTGACAAGGCTATAAATGTTTGGAGGACAGGAAGCATGTCTTATCCATTTTTAACCACCTTCCCTCCCCTTACCATACGGAGTCTGGTACCCTGTAGCTGCTCGATAAATGTTTGTTGAAAATGAATCAGAAATGTTTATTTCCTACCATGTGCCGGACACTGCTAGGAGGTGGGGAGACGGGGGAGCAAGAGAGACACCAGCCTTGGCCCCATGGAACCTATAGTTCAGTTTCACATGGCTGACATGCAGAGAGTGAATGCGGGAGGGATGGGGGGTGCATCTGGATGGTTGCCTGGGGCCAGGTCCTAAAGGGCCTCGTGGGCCAAGCTAAGAAATTATATCAGGACTGGGAGGTGGGCAGGAAGGCTGGCAGGGCAGAACACAAAGCCAATGGGACGAGTCAGCCTGTTCAGTGCTCTATCCTTCGAGTGCTTTCCCTCAGACCCTGGGCAAGGTCTCTTTTCTCCCCATTGACTTGGGGCCACACTCACCCATGGGCACGATGATCCCAATGACAGCAGCAGTGACTGTTGAGCCCATCTTGCCGTCTTCATTCCCATCTGCAAAATGCAAACATTTGCAGAATGAGGTTTCTTGTTTCTCGTGGGTCTGTTGCGGTCTGTCTGTCCGTCTGCATTATCAGTTTATTTGTAATAAGTACTTAAATTGGATGCATATTGTGTAGTGGAATCAAGAGCCCAGGCTCCTGGGTCTGACTTCTTGGGTCCAAATCCAGCTCTACTACTCACTACTTGTTTGACCTTGGGCAAATTATTGTACATTATAAATATTATATTTCTTTATGTTTAAAATGGGGATCATGATATCACCTACCTCCTGGGGATACTGTGAAGATTAAATGAGATGATTCATGTAAAATGTTTACTTAGTGCCCAACACAGCCTTGTCTAGTTCAAAGGCGGTGGGGAGTGGGATAGGGGTTGTCATGAGACATAGATAAAATAGGGTATCTAAAATCACATTCTAAACTGTATAGTACTTGGAAGGTAGTTGTTTTTCTTTTTTTTTTTAGCTGAGCCATCCTGCTACCTATTGGCAGCTCAGCGGCTGCTCAGCTTGGGCTGGACTCGAACCGCTGTTGCTCAGAACTCAAACTCTTGAGCGAGCTCTTAACCAACTGAGCCACTCGGCCAGCCCTGGAAGGTAGTTTTCAAAAAGCATGTTGTGCCATCTTTTTCACTCTTACAGCCATCTTCACTGTAACATCTGTACAGCACTTTGTAGTTTAGAAGGCATTTTTCCCTTGGATCCTCACGATAGCCCTCTGAAGTGGGAAGGGAAGCTATCATCTACATTTGCTCCAAGAGAGGAGATGATTGCCCCCTGGCGGTGCTCCCGATGCCATCTCTCAGTGTGTCTGTTTCTCCAAGTTACGCTAAGACAGTGGTTCTCAACCTGTGGGGCGCGATCCATTTGGGGGTCGAACAACCCTTTCATAGGGGTCGCCGGGTACTTGTATGTGGGCGTATCTGCATGTGGGCCTGGAGATGGATAGAGGAGCGGTGTCTCGGTTCCTAAGACCATCGAAAATATGTGTTTTCTGATGGTCTTAGGTGACCCCTGTGAAAGGTTGAGAACTGCTGCTCTAAGGGGAGCCAATGACTACGGGGAGAAAAGAGCTGCACTGCTTCAAAGCTCACTGTGGCGGTGCCGCTGTCTTCTCCCTCCAGGGCCCGAGCAAACACTGGACAATGATTGAAAGCCCAGCGCATGGTACAGGCGGTGGGGAGACTCCCGGTCAGAGGCTATGCCCCGTATGAGGGGAACTGGAATTCACACAAGTTCCACCTGCCTCTCCAAACTTCAGGCTAAGTGCTCAACTCAGAAAATCCAGCTTCTGCTGGCAGGACAGGCCCAATTAGAAAGAAAAGTGCTGCCAAGCTGCTCAGTTTCTGGGCCGTGCATGTATGGGAAAGTTTATCCTCTGAAATGAACTCCCCTTGGCAGGTAACTCAATTAGAAAGGTATTTGCTGGTTAATGAGATAGAACATTTCTAGCAGTGACAATTACTGCTCCTGATGATTTAATAAGTGGTGGACTTAATTACTTTCACCCCAGGGTTTGGAAAGAGGCACAAGCAGACTAGTTACGGATATTACTTTCTGAGGAACCTACCGAGGGTGCTGAGAACTGAGACCAGAGCTTTTGAAGTTTCCACATCAGAGGGACACTCCCTCATATACATGTCAGTGACACACGACACACAGACACACAGCCCAAGTCAGCAGAGGCTGCATGTGTGAGCACCGATATTTATACCATCTCTTTTGCTTCTCATGGCAACCTTGTGAAGCAAGTAGGGGAAGGGTTATTATTACTCCACTTTGTAGGTGAGGAAGCTGAGGGTCAGAGACAGGAAGTGATTCCCTTGAGACCCTCTGTAAGTTAGGGGCACCTAAGACTCCTATACGGGCACTCTACCTCCCTCTGCTTCCTCCTCAGAGATATCCAGTATTCAGCTCTGGTATGATCTCTCCTTCGGATTTATCCTCCCATCCTGGCTTCCCATATCATGAAAGAAGGCAGAACTCATTTCCTTACAATGCTGGGAGTGGTTGCTGGTTGCAGGGCTTGGGGTAGACGGGCTAATGCTGGGAGCCCTGCGGACATTAACTGAGCTTGGGACCGCAGCGGCCAGGCTTGCTGTCTCTGTGCTGTGGTTCTGGTAGGTGGGGCTGTGGATGGTGGTCCCAGGGGCTCTTGTGGTATCCCGTGTCCTCATGGTAGTAGAGGCTGACGTCGTAGTTGAGGTAGATTGAGGTGCTGCAGGGGAAATATCATGGAGGTAACTTGGACAGAGAATTTTGTTGCTTTAGTGCCTAAATTGTTGCTTCTATGGATTATACTTATGAACATGTCCTGATGGCTCAGCTCAAATGCCACCTCTGTGAAGATGTCCCTAATCCTCCCGAATGATAAAGATGAGTCATTAAAACAGTGTTGTAGAATTAGGTGTGGGCAAGACCACTGTTAAAGTGTGGGAGGAGGGGGAATCATACAAATCTAGAAGGATTTTATTCGCGTATTGTTACACCATTAGGTTTAAATTCTCACTCCACTTTAAACAGTTGGATCTGGAAATCATAAAGGATGCAGCAGACTTATGCTCAAACAAAAGACCTTGGCCCTGTGCATCAAGACTGGGGAATGAATATAAATTTATACCGTTAAAGCATTAACTATTTGTCCCAATCATTTCATCAAAGGGCTTTTAGGTAGTATGTTAAATTCTAGGTGAGAAATAGGTAAGCTCACAGTCACCTGCATAGAAACACTAACTAAAGCTATGGGGATCAAGGGTTCTTAATGGGAGGTCTTCAGGGGTTCCAGAAAGCCCCTGAAAATGAATTTGAAATATTGTCTGTATATGTGCATTTTTCTTGGGAGTGAGAAGAGAAAGCCTTGGAAGGACCCTGGGGGACACCAGCATTCAAGGAAGGTAAAGAACGAGCTTGCAAAGGCAATACGTAGCCAGAGCCGATGGGGGCAAACCAGGAGCATATGGTGTCCCAGAAACCAAGGGAGGATTCAGCAGGATGGGGTCTAGCATGGCCAGGGGCTACCCCTTCTGGTAGGTCCGCTTACCTCGGTAACACCTCTTCATGTCTGGGCCCAGCCACATTGTGTCAGGACAGGCACAGGTGTACTTGTGGCTGGAGATCTGGGGAGCAGGAAGGCACAGGTACTCACAGCCTCCATTGGGCTGGGCACTCAGCTCACAGGCATCTGTAGCTAATGGCGGTGGGGGGGGGGGAGGTGGGTAGAGAAAGAGAGAGAGGAGAGAGATGGGGCACAGACGGGACTAGCCAGGTCTTCCTCCTCCCAAGGATGAGGCCCTTCCCACTCAGCTTACTCAAAAAGCTTTCTCCGCTACTTTTACTGGGCACTTTCCAGCACTGTGCCTGGTGTTTTATCACCACACTATGGTTTAATCCTGACAACAGCTCTGAGAGGTGGGTATTATGCCCTAGATTGACAGATAAGACACCTAGGCTCAAAGAGAACAAACTTGTCAAAGCTGTACCTCTAATAATTTTGGAGACAGAATTTAAATTGAGGTCTGTTGGACTCCAAAGAGCTTGTTGTTCCTCCTGGGGCGCACACCATGCCTCTTTCTTATTTAAATTGCTAGATCTAGAATCAGGCACCAAGCTTATCCCCTACGCTTTCCCACCTTTGCCCTGCAGCCAACACCTGAGTTACAGTTAGTATATCCCAGCAATAGAGGGAACAACCAAGTAGTAGGATTCCTGGCTCCTACTCCCAACCAACAAACTGAATTACTCCCTGGCCCTAAGATACACTAGTTTATGCTACTGCCAAATGGATACAAATAATGAATGAGAAGCAGTGTGCTCCTCATGGCAGAAGGAGCTCTGGAACCAGACAGACCTGAGTTTAGGTTTGAGTTCTGCCACCTGCTAACAGTGTTTTATTTCTCTGAGCTACAGTTTCCTCAATTGTTTTTTTTTCCCCCCAAAGATTTTTATTGGGAAATTGGGGGATGGGAACAGCGCTGGGGAATTGGGGGAAGGAGAACAGACAAGTCGCTGTCCTTTTGTTCTTCAGTCTAGTTGTGGAGGACGTTGCTTCACTGGCCCAAGTTGGCACCATCATTGCGCTCTTCCCGGGTGAGGCAGATCAGTCGCCGGCTTCTGGACGGCCGCTCATGGCAGCTGCTGGCCGCTCATGTTGGCTGCTGGCTACACACAGTAGCCCATGGCAACCCACTGCAGCAGGACTGCAGCCCACGCCGTCGCCGGCGACTCACGGCAGCCCAGCTCCAGGTTGAGCTGTTGTTCAGCATCTTAGCTGTAGAGGGCAGTGTCACTGGCCCTCATATGTGGGATCCGAACCGGGGCCCTCTGGCGTCCCAAGCCAGCTCTTAACCAATGCACCACTTGGCCAGCCCCTCCTCAATTGTTAAATGAGGACGCAATACCTACAATTTGTAGGATTGGCAAAAATAGGGCATTTATATATTTATTTCTTTATACCCAGCCTTGATTTCACTAAGAGCTTGCGGCAAAACCAGATAAAATATGTGACAGCAAAGCACTCTCCCACTAGGGGGACTGCTGCCGTTATTCCTGTGGGTGCTGACACATTGAGTTACATGAACATGAACGCAGCTTGCCTAGTGGAGGGAGGGGACATGGGCGGGGCACCTGGGACCAGGGAAGGCTCACCTCTTGGCTGCTTCAGCTCATGGAAGATGACAATGTCATGTGGGTTATTGAGGTTCTCAGCTAGGACGGAGATATCCAGGCCATTGAGCCGATTTGCGCTGAAAATGGCCTCATTCTCCAAGTCTGTCCAGAACACTTTGTCCTGTGGGGTACAAATGCAGAGGATGGGAGGCCTAGAGCCTAAACCCATGGCCTCAGTCTGAGGACTCAGCCCCAAACCACAGTTGTAAGAACTGCCCTGCCATCTCCCCTGAGCTCTCCTGCTCAGATTCACAGTGGGACTCTCAGCCTCTGATCTGCGACGTGTGCTCTGGTTCCCTTCTGTCTCAGAGGGTTATGTGGTGAATCTGTGCCTCGGCTTGAGAGCTCATTAATGCTGAGCTAGGCCTGCTTCCTGGAGCCCAGCAAGAACCCAAGGTTGGGTCTCTATTAGCTGTTACCGTTACTGGAGTCCAGGGCCAAGACTGGAGGGGATGTGTGAGCTACTGAGGCCCGGCTGGGCCTCCTACAGCCTCCGGGTATAACACATATGCATCCAGAGGTTAGTCCATACAAGCCTGGCTGTACACCTGTAGGCAAATCCACACTTACAACCATGCAGCTTCATGCCCAGGTCTGAACACACACTCACATGCCCATCTACACACACAAAGGCACACCTGTACCGAAATAAGCACTTGTCTAGGTATTGGTATACATATTTACACTCAAGCACCAGCACATACAGGAATGCACACTTTTAAATGGATGCATTTATGTACACACATGCACATACATATACTTTACATGTACGTGCCACAAATATGCACAAGCACATACATGAGTCCGAACACACCTGTCTTTTGACTTGGAGGTGGGGCTTTGCCCATAGATTCAGAGCAGTACTGAGCGATGTCGCTCCAAGCAAATGTCACCAGTACCCACCATAGACCACTGTCCCCTTGCTTTCCCTCCCCGCAGAGGCAGAGTTAGTTTTGGGGAAGAGGAAGGTGTGTGAGACCTTGGCTGGCTTTGGCTTCCTCGTTCCCCGAGGAGAGAGGTGGTCAGGGTCAGGAGGGTCTTGACTCTTCATCCTCAAGGAGCTTCTTGAGGATTGGGATGATGTCTGATTCACGTCTATGACCCCAGGGTCCCACAAGTGTCAGTGAAAGTGTGCTGCGTTGAATGACATCCCTCAGGCCATTTCCAACAATCACTGATTCTACGGTAACATAGATTCCTTCTTCCCTCCCTCCCTTTATTGGGTACCTTCTATTATGTGGGCCCAGTGCTCAGTGCTGAGGGCTCAGAGAGAAAACAGACGCAGTCTAGCAACTTACCCATGAGCAGTGCTCGGAGAGAGTGGTCTTGGGAAGGGAGCGCAGGAAAGGCTGCCAGGTAGAAGCCTTTGCATGGAGCCAGCTCACAAGTGTGCACAAATGAGTCAGCTGGCTGCCCTTCCCTTTGTTTCCATTGGGACAATTCCCGGGGAGTCATCCTATTTGAACAAGCCTTTTCTAGGTTTCAGCTTCCTAATGGGGTCATGCCTCCCCCCACGGGGCTCACCTCAAACACAGCTATCCCAAAAGGGTGGCTCAGGAAGTCAGGGGAGGAAATCAGCATCTTTCTGTTGCCTCCACTGAAGTCAATGCTGGACAGCTGGTGCAGCTTGGAGTCTACCCAGTATAAGCGCTGGTTCAGCAAATCTTGGGATGGAGGGAGGGGGCGGGGGATCAGGTCATGAGCCTGGGACTGCAGACGGGATCTCTGCTTCTCCGTGCCCTCTCCCTGCCCACATCTCTAGGCCAGGCCTCTGACTGAGGCCAGCCTGGGGTAAGCGTCAGGAAACCCATGCACTGGCACTATGAGGGGACGCAGAAATAAGACCCAGGGGCCTCAGGGCAGTGGTCAGGACCAGGAGTTGGAACAGCCCCCAATCCAGGGAAGGTAGGGCTCACCCAGGGTGATTCCATTGGGCCACTCAATATTGTCTGACACCAGTGTTTGCCGGTCCACACCGTTGAGCCCAGACTTCTCAATCTTGGCCTGGTACCCCCAGTCAGACCAATACATAAACCTAAAAGAGAGAAGAACCCAGTTGGGCTTCTTGTCAGGGACATGATTGGCATGGTCTGGATCACAAAAGCTCCACGACCCACTGAATGTTAAACATTATGCTTAGTAAGGACTGGGAAGAGCCCTGAAATCCACTGGAACTGTCAAATCTTAGAGTTAGCAGGTGCTTTAGCCTTCACCTCATCTGAGCCCTGGGAAGCCTGTATGCCTCGAGTGTCCACCCAGCTGCAGCTGGACAGCCTGGAGCCCATCTCTCTTACTCTGGCAGCTCCAACTAGAGCCCTAGCATGCCGGAGTGGGGAGGGCCTTTGTCAACCTCTCACTTTCCCTGTCTACAGAGGAGAAAGTGGATGACCTACCCATAGTCACACAGCTAGAACTGGGTAGGGCTTCTCTCTCTTTTTTCTTGAACATTTATTGAGTACTTACTATGTGCCAGGCACTGGGCTGAGTGGTTTCACCTCATGCACTTACATCAGGACTATGGAGGAAGTCAAAGGGAGGCACATTTGGGAATATGAGAAAAAAGATCAAACAAATCAACAAAACTAAAGAAAACTTTCTAACAGGCAGAGCTGTCCAAAATGAAATGGGCACTAGGGGAACTCACGAACTCCTATCTCTGAAGTGTGTGAGCAGTCACCAGATGGCCACCTTCAGCTTGCAGCGACCTGAGAACTGACTTCCTGCCCCAGGAGCTTCTATTAGGCATTCTCTAGAGCCCTGCTCTGCTCTAAGACGTTCTGATTCTATGATATGATGAGTGAGTGGCAGAGTCTCAGGAGAACCCTGGTGACCAATGCCCAAAGAGACCCTTGGTCAGGAGTTACTAGGCTGAGGAACCCGCATGGACTTTCTTACCATGGGATGTGTCTGAGTGGCCCAAGACCCCCAAGATAGCTCTTACGACAGACACATGAGGACTGACTGCCTCCGGTGGGAGAATGGGAAGTTCTAGGTGGAGACACTCACCCTCGCAGGGGGTCAACGGCGATGGCCCGGGGTTCACTGAGGTCATGGCTGAAAAGAGTGCATCGGCGGCCGCCATCAACTGTGGCCACTGAGATGGTCTTGTTGCCCGAGTCAGTCCAGTAGATGTGCTTGTGGACCCAGTCCACGGCCAGGCCCTCTGGAGAGTGCAGCTGCTCGTCAATGAGGACCTCCTGCTCTGCTGGGTCACTGGCCTTGTCCATGTAGGCGCTACGAGCAACCAGAGCTGGCCATGGGGCAGGCGTGCCACCCACGCATCCCTCTGGAGCACCCTTCCCCTCTCTCTTTAACCTAGGGGCCATGGCAGTGGATTTTAGAGGAACTTGGCTAATTTCTGTTCAACACATTCCCCGAGCCACGAGGGTAAACATACAGGCTTGAATCAGCCATAGCCTCTGGCCTGGAGGAGCTCAACTTAAAGGGGGACAAAAATTTACAGTCGGATAATTACAGTACAATGGGATTATGGAAAGCATTAGGGGCCATAGCAGCAGAGAAATGGAGACTACATCACCCTGGAGGGTTGAAGAAGGCTTTGTAGTTGAGTCCTGAAGGACTAGTTCACTAGGAACAGAAAGGACAGAAAGCAGAGGGAATAGCATGTGCAAATGCCCAAGGGTGTGTGTTCTGGAACATTGAATAAGGTGAGATAGTCAGTGCGGGTAGAGCTGGGTGGGTGGGATATGAGACTGGGAGTGAGTGCAGGCAGGGGCCACATCCTGCCAGGCTCTGCATACCATGCTGAGGAGTTAGGGTTTTATCCTGGAAAGGGCAACTGAACAGATCAGAGGACATGGTCAGATAGCATGTTAGATCACTGACACCTGTGGACTATGAGATGGATCGGAAGGGACGGAATGAAGGCAGGGCGACTGGTTAGGAGGCTGTTACTGCATCCAGGTAAGAGATAGAAGGCAGGGCGACTGGTTAGGAGGCTGTTACTGCATCCAGGTAAGAGATAAAGAGGGTCTGCAGAAGGACTGTGCCAGTGAGAATGGAGAGAAGGGGCTGAAAATAGTAGACATGTAGGAAGCAACATCAAGGGGATTTTCTGTCTCCCAAATGCTGTTTATCCCAAGGTTTTCTTCTCATCCATAACCTCCCTCTGAGCAGTTAGTTCCACAGGACCCACTGGCCATCCATAACTATGACTCTCCCATCCCACAACTCCCTTAAGCTCCAGACTATAAAGTCAACTGGTCCTCCTCAGATGTCCCAGGGACATCTTGACCTCAATATGCTCAAAGCTGCTCATCCCCAACCCCCTCCCCTCAGCCGTCCAGCCTGACTGCCCACCCCGCACCCGATCCTCCTCCATGACTCCCTCAGAGAACAGCACCACCGTTCACTAAACCTCCTGAGCCAGAACCTAGAACTCCCAAAAAGAACCTGGGAGTTCATCTGGACTCTTTCTTCGCAGCCGCATATCCAGTGTTATCAAATCCTGCCTCTTTCAGGCACAACTGTTCGATAGGTACTGACTGCTCTAGCTGTTTCTGTGTGTGTGACTGTGAGCTGAGTATGTGTCTCTGTGTTGGGGGGTGTGGCAGGCATCGAGTTATCAGTGAGTAGCACTTGGTATATTTGTTTCCATCCATCCATCCATTGTTCTTTCCGTCCATCTGTCTGTCTGTCCATAGATCCCCCCACCCATCCCATCACTTTTTCAATCGTCTCCCCAGTGTGGTCATTGGTAGTTCTGCCAGGTGAATGGATCTCAAGACAAAGAAAGGACATGATTGCCAAAAGGGGCCAGGACATGCAGAGAGGCAGGCTTGTGGGATCTGAGAAAGACCCAGGAGAGAACTTCGTGTGAGGAGCCTTCCTGAGAGCCAAAGTCCACTGACTGTGGTGTCACAGGTACCCGAAGGGCTGGACTAGGGGTAGTGCATCCAGAACTTCCCTGACCCCCAGGTTGGGTCAGAGGTCCCCTCTGTATGTTCCCCTCATGATCATCACAATGGATGTCACTATGCTCTGAGGGGGGTCCTCCAGGCAGGGCCAGGTCAGAGTCATCTGAGTCTCCAGGATCCAACATGCAGCTATGTGAGCTGTTTGAAAGTCCTCTCCAAAGCCAGGGGTTTCTTCCTTTCTGCCCTGACTGAACATTTCCTGTGCCTTGCACTGCCCCATCCAGCCGCCAGAGGTCAGTCAAAGCCCAGGCATATGGGGCTCAAAGCTGCTCTGGCGACAGAGCCCTTAACCTAGGAGGCCCAGTGGGTCAACAAGTCCTGGAAGTTCCTTGGTCACTGTGATCCTGTGTCCCTTCCCAAGCCCCAACGCTGTCCTGGGGAATCTAGAGGCAGAGGGGGCACAGAGGACAGCCTTCCTCTCCTCCCCGTCAGTCCGTACCCAGGCATGGCTACAGGACACCAGCCATTCATTGCTCACCCATAGATCTTGCGGTAAGAGAGGTCACACCAGTAGATGCGATTGGTGGCCACTTCGACGTCCAGCGCCACAACGTTCTTGAGCATGGGGATGAGGCGTGAGTAGTCACGCTTCACCAGGTCTATCCTCCGCACTTCATGCCGGTTGGTGAAGATCAGGGACGGGCTTCTGCCGGCTGCCATGCAAGGAGTTTGAGAGAGAAAGGGTTAGTGCAAGAGGTAGGGAATCTGGAGAGCTAGGCTCTGCCTGCCACTGGTTTCCTGAGCGATGCCTCATTTTTCTGCCTCCCAGTTTAGAGGAACAGATGAAATAATGGGTACAAAAAGCATAAGATGCAAAGCACCACGCATAACAGAGGATTTTTATTGCTTTTATTAGACATGAACTTCCCCCAAATCTTTTGTAACTCCCCATTTCCTCCTTAGGCTTGCACTGAAGGCCTTTCACAGTGTGGCCCCAAGCTCCCCGTCCAGCACTGTCACTCACTCCTTTAACACACCTTGATTCCAGCCACCAGACTATCTGTCATTACCTAGTCACGGCAGAGCTTTGCTGCCTCGGGGCCTTTGCTCACATTGTCCCCTCTACCTAGAATGCATTTCTCCCCAGCAACTACCACCTCCCCTGCTTAGAGTCCTGCAATAGTTTGAGAAGGGGCAGCATGAGCATTAACTGTTTTAGAAAGATGACTAAGGCTCCAGGATGGAGGACACACATCAGAGCCGGGAGTGAGACTGGAGGGAGGAGACTCAGGGAGGTCGTCATGAGTCTTTATGCAGAGTGTATTTGGGGACATGACAAGAGATGAAGCTGCAGAGGTTGGTGGGGGCCAGACCAGGAAGGGTTTTGTGAGGTGGGAGAAGAATTTGCACTTTATTCTGAGCCAATAGCAGGGGTGGGATATGTGTAATATATGACACAGGTTATATATGTGCAATGGAAACAGCATATAACTGCCCATGTATACACAAAACCCATTTTTAGACTTACAATTAGATTTTAGGAAGATCATCACTGACCTAGACATTCCTGGCTACTCCATATGAAGGGTCACTGTCCCACAGGCCTACAAGGGCCCAGCACTTAGCACAGGTTGCCAACCCCCCAGCCTGTTTTTAGATGTATCAGGTCACTCTCAGGCACCAACAGTCTGAGTGGCAGCACCTGTACCTGGAGCTGCCTGTGCCTTCTCCCGCTCTGGTTTTCCAGCTGACACTTCTGCAGGCCACCTGGTCCCTGTCACTGTTCATCCGTGCCTGGCTAATGTGTCACCCAGGGGCAGGGTGGGACTAGCACAGAGTCATGTGGGGCTTGGGGCTGGGTGTGTGACTTGTGTGTAATGGTGGAGACTGTTTCAAAGCAGAGTGGGGGTGAGGGGGAGGGCGTGGTACAAACAGAGAGCATAGAAAAATAGGGCTCCAAGTTTAGGAAGGAGAGAGGAGGAGAGCTTGCTTCGAGGCCCAGCTCTGCCGCTGACTAACTGTGATGCTCCCCACCCCAAAATGAGAGCAATGGTCCTCGATCTTCCTGAAGGCAGGAGCTGGGTTACAGCATATCTTCAGGTGGTTTTTACTAAGAGCTGGGACTGTGACAGGAACCCAGTGTGTTTATGATTTGAGTTTTTATGTAACTGCACTTCAGATATTCATCTGGGCGGCGGGGGGGGCGGGGGCGGTTTGTGTTGTCTGCACTGCACATATATAATCCATGGTGTATAGTACACGTGTCCCATGTGGGGATAAGAACAGGTTACATGTTATGTGTAGTGGGCTAATGTATGTGTTGTATATTATACAGGTTGGGTGGTATGTTTTTTTGGGTTTACTGGCTACATGTCAATTACTGTGGCTGCTGTATTGTTATAATCTATACATTGTATATTGTATTTGTGCATCCGAATTCCAGGCTCATAGAGCTAACTGCCTTCTCAATACTTCTACTTACATGTCTAGTTTTCTTAACCTTAACATGTCCAAATCAGTCTAACATTCCCCAAACCTGCTTTTCTCACCATCTTTCCCAATTCCATAAATAGCAATCCTATTTTTCCAGTTGCTTGGCCAAAAATCTTGAAGTCATTTTTGACTCTTTTTTTTTTTCTCTCTCACATCCCACATTTAATTCACAAGTAAATCCTGTTGCTCTAAAATAAATCCCGACCTTCAAAATCCATTCAGGGGCCAGCTGAGTGGCGTGATGGTTAAGAGCTGGCTTGGGATGCCAGAGGGCCCCTGTTTGGATCCCACATATGAGGGCCAGTGACACTGCCCTCTACAGCTAAGATGCTGAACAACAGCTCAACCTGGAGCTGGGCTGCTGTGAGTCACCGGTGATGGCGTAGGCTGCAGCCCCTGCTGCAGTGGGTTGCCATAGGCTACCGTGTGTGGCCAGCAGCCAGCGTGAGCGGCCAGCAGCCAGCGTGAGCGGCCAGCAGCCGCAGTGAGTGGCCGTCCAGAAGCTGGTGACTGATCTGCCTCGCCCAGGAAGAGCGCAATGATGGTGCCAACTTGGGCCAGTGAAGCAACGTCCTCCACAACTAGACTGAAGAACAAAACGACAGCAACTTGTCTGTTCCCTTTCCCCCAATTCCCCAGCACTGTTCCCATCCCCCCAATTCCCCAATAAAAAAAATCTTTAAAAAAAAAAATCCATTCAGTCCGTCCACCTCTCGTGTTCCCACTGTAATACCCTGGTCCAAGCCATTATCACCTCTCTTCTGGATTATTGCAAAAAAGCTCTTAATTGATTTTCCTGCTTCCTCCCTTGCCCCATGTAATCTATTCTCGACACAGCAGCCAGAGATAGCCAGTTAAAACACAAGATACACCATGTCCCTCCTCTACTCAAAACCCTCAAAGGCTTTTTCCCCTGACAGAGTGAAATCGAGAGCCAGCCTCACTGGTCTAGAGGACTGTTGTGATCTGTCCTGAGTCACCTATCTGACTTCTCTCCCCCTAGTCCCCTTGCTCCAGTGGCACTGACTTCTGCATTGTCACGTCCCGCATGGCGAGGGCAAATGGGACACGACAGGGGCGACACAGATTGAATAAGTACATGAGACAAAAGTCAGATAAGAGCGAGACCAAGGGGCATCAGCCTAGAGGACTGAGCTGAGCCCCGAATCGGGTCTTCACATGGCTTTTATTGAGAAAATTTCAAGGAAGTGAAACTGAATTACTCAAAGATCCGTGTGCCACGTGCCTTAAGGCTGGTTTCCATTAACCAGCTCCCATTGTACTCCAGCATGTGCTATGCCTTCATACAGCCTGCACAGCCCCCAGGACAGCGCCCAGTGCCGTGTCCTATACAAATAAAGGGAGATGACCGATATCATTCCACTGGGTCTCAGCGTTTCGAGACACTCCCTAGAGGAAGCTTTACCGATATCATTCCACCAGGTCTCAGCGTTTCGAGACACTCCCTCAGGACCTCATTAGGTCAGGGGTTAGTGCGGGGGAGGGGGGGGTCGTGGAGGTAGCTATAAGGCAATTCAACCGTCAGGCATGCTCCTGTCCTAGGGCCTTAGCGCTTTCTGTTCCTTCGCCTGATGCTGTTCCTGCAGATAGATAAATGCATGGCTTACTTCAGTTCAAAAGTCACCTTCTCATGAAGGTGAGGGCTCCTCTGAGCATGCTACTCAAAGCTAACCCACTGCCCACCCGGGCTGCCCTCTTCCTTCCCCTGCTTTACACGTCTCCTCAGCCCTTATTGCCACCTGCTGTGCACTGCATTTTATTTACTTATCTGATTTCTTGTCTGCCTCACCCACTAGGATGTAAGCCCCATGAGGGCAGACAAGGATTTGTGTCTGTTTTGCTTACTCCCGAATCCCCAGTGCCTACAACAATGTTAGGAGTTCAGTATAAAGAGTGGAATAGAATGAATGAATTCAGCTGGCGAAGTGATCCATGCTGGGTCTGCACGTGTCATGCAGTTTGTGAGAGCTGCCTATGCTGTGTGTGTAGCCTGCATGACCCTGTTTGTCCACACATGGCGTGTTATGCGAGTGCATTTCTGTGGGCTGCGCTGGGTGGCCCTGTGGGGCGTCCGTGTGGGGGTTGGTGTGCAGTGCACTGGGTGTGTGATGTGTATTTACACTTTGAGCACTGTGTGTGCAACCTGCTTTCTGTGTGCACACCTGCTCCTCACATATGCAGAAGCACACGGCATTCTGTACCCTCTCAGAGCGTCCCCCTGCCCCCCACCTTGGGGTGTCCATACCGACAGCCTTGCAGTTCTTGGTCAGCGTGTCCATCTCATAGCCAGGGTGGCACTCGCACTTAAAGTAGCCCTTGTAATTGACACAGATCTGGCTGCAAGCGTCCGGGTCCTCACACTCATCGATGTCTGTGGGGAGAAGCAGAGGTCAGAACTGGCAGGAGGACCTGTCTCTGCTTGGGAGCGGGAGGGGAGGGTCTCACCACCACAGGTCTTCTGGTCCAGGAGCCGGTAGCCCGCGGGGCAGGTGCACTCAAAGCCAATCTTGAGGTCAGTGCAGATGTGGGAGCAGCCGCCATTGTTGTGCAGACACTCGTTCAGCCCTGGGGAGGGACACACACTCCTGAGGGTCCAGGAGCCCATGCTGGGGTGGGGGCCAGACAGGGGTGAGCCCAGAGCTGAAGCAGAGACCTAGGGCAGCAGGACTTCTAAGGTCCAGGATGCTCTGTGGCCTGATTAGCCAGGTAACTGGGCAACAGGAGGGTCAGAGAAGGGCAGGTCTTTGCTCAAGGCCAGACACACTGACAGGGGCAGGGTGGAACCAGAACTCAGGTCCTTTGCCTCCCAGGCCAGCGCTCGGTCCACCGCTAGGCTGGAGGCAGCTATGCCGCCTGAAGTCTTTCCTTTCACAAACACGTTTCTTCCAGCTCCTCCTTCCTGGTGACCTCAGTGTTGAAGGGGCCTGCATGTACCATGTCTAACCCTCAGGATACCCCAGTAATCCCTTCTCAAATGTCTATGCTTCATCTCCAGCCTCAGAAGCCCACTTTCCTCCTGAGGCAGCTGGCTCCACGCGGAACACAGTTCTTCCTCACAAAATCGGCCTCCCGTGGCTTCTACTCGCGCTCCCAGCTTGGCCCCGTGGGGTCGGCCAGAGTCTAATGGCTCCCTCAGAATCTCCTTAAAGCGCCGATTTCTGGCCCCCTACCGTTCAGTTACCTTTCTCTGGCTACACGCCACCTGTCCATTTCCATTTCCTAACACGGCTAGCCCACCACATAGGGGTCTTAACAGAGTCGGCCCCTATTGAGCTTGTAGTTATCGAAAATTCCCAGGCCTTTTTCTACACCGAAGTGTTGCTAAGTCAGCGCTTTCCTACCATGAATTATGATTGATTTTTTTCACTTCCTCTCCACGCAGCATCTGTCCCTGTTCCTACACTTAGTCACGGGCCTGGCTCTGGGATTACCAACTACTGTAAGGGATGAAGGGATGCCAGTCACCTGGTTACCCTGTCATCCACTCCCTCACCACCTTCTGGCAGGGCCCTAGAGGAGGTCAGAGAGGCCCGGACCAAGACTCTCACAGTATCTTCTGAGCTTTAGAATCACAGGAGGTTAATTCTGCAAGCCAAGAGAAGGTGCCATACCACCCCTCTGCCCACCAGGCTCATGCACCACCACTCCAGCCAAGCCAAGCAGAGCCGAGCTGAGCCAGCCGTGGCCATGCACACAGCTGGTCTGAGCTGCCTATCCCAGGCCATGCACAGACGTGGGTGCCCCACCTCCAACCTGAGCCATGCTTTGGGAATGTTCCCCTTTACCCCTGGGCCTCCTCCTGTTTCCCCGATGCGTTGGCAGAACTGAAAGAACAAGACCACAGCAACCCCATGACTGGGGGACCTGGGGGTGACAGCCAGACCTGGTCCTGGAAGTACCAGCCCCTTGGGGTGGGCTGAGCCAGAGTACCTTTGGGGTGGTCTCTGTGGGTCACCACCTCCAGGAATCTTTCTGAGACTCCAAGCCACCCCTGACCTCTCCCATACCACACTATTCCGTCAGCACTGTCCATTCATTTGTTCACCCACTCACTCCCTGCCTCATTCATGCACCCACTCCCTCCCTCCCTCTCCCTTTGCGGGTAGCAGCAACTCTTGTATTTACTGAGCTCTGATGGAGTGGCATGTGTAGAATGGCTCGGAAAGGGGAAAGCTCAAAGTGACATAGGTTTCTATGAAACAGGGAGGTACAGAGTTCTCCAGGGCTGAGGTGGTTGGGGTGAGAATGGGTAGCTGGTCTGGACCTGACTATCCTTGTCAACAGTTTCCTGAAAGGCCAGCACCAAGGTAGAGGCTGAAGGGGTGTCTCTGGGCCTTCCCAGGTCTCTAGCTTGGAGGTGATTCTGTTGGGGGGCTTGTCGGCGAGGAGAGGGGCAAGTGGTCCAGAGAGGTATGAGCAACATTTGAGGCCCCCCAAGGAAGGAAGGAGCAGTGTCAATTTCCCCCCGCACATGCACACACCTGCATGCACACACACACCAGCTTACGTGCAGAGACACAGAGAGGCCCATGAAATCCACAGACACATTCACACAGATGTGAGAACACACACAGAGTTACATGATGCAATTCCCTTGCCTTCCTCAGAGAAGGAGTCATGGATACAGATTCTGGCCTCTCACCAGCACAGAGATACAAACACATGCATACATACTTCCTTTTGGCGTGTCATGCAGAAGACGAGAGAGAAGAGAGTAGGTTAGTAGCCAGTTAGTAGGTTTAGTAGCCAGTCGCTGGCTAACTCCAAGTCTGGGTGGGAAAGGGGGCTAGGCTCAGTACTCCTGCTTCCCTGCCCTCTTTTCCATAGGTTCCTTCTTCTGGGATTTTCTTGGCAGGGCCTTTGTGGGGGTCAGAGGGAGGGGTCTGTCACCTGCAAGCCCAGGTGCAGGCTGAGTGACCTTCACTCACTCAGCTATTCTTCCTTTCAAAATCAATCTTTAAATCTCCAACAGAGACAGAAACATGCTGCTCCTGTGGAGCTCCAGAGGATGAAGCTACTCTCAGGGCCCAGGACGGGAGGTGCTGGGTGAAAACGGGTCTGCCAGGAAGGGAGGGAGGGAGAGTCTGACTTAGGCTCTGTCCTTCTAGGAATTCTCTGCCCAAACCCCTGACCTCAGAAATGAACCTTCCTGGAGCCCACACTGGGTTTCCTGTACATCCTCTGGGATACCCACCCTACCTACAGCCCAGACTCTCCTGTGCTTTCTAGCCTAGAACCCACCTTGACAGCTCTAGCCATCAAGACAGCTGCCTCCTTCTGCTCCTCACTCATGTCCAGCCTATAAGTCTGGGTCTCCCAGAAAGTCTGAGCTCCTCAGGGCTCAGGATGGTGCCACTCTCTGCTGCTTGGTCTGTCCTCCCCTCACCCAGGCCTGGCCTGAACCAGGTGGCCTTGGCATATGCCTCAACTGGCCACCTACCTGCTGGTACCCACCTCTACCTCTGCAGGGACTCCTACAGGGGGATGAAAAACCTCAGAGGTTAGGGCCCTGGCTAGGTCAGCAGGGCAGAAACACTGAGGAAGAGAGAAGATTCTAGGGTGAGCACATACTCAGAGATCTGAATGTGGAAGGAGTGAGGAGGAGAGGCTGGGTTTGTGGGAGGAAGCATAAGTTTTGAGCATATGGGCTGGAAAGAAAAGGCCTAGATTTGTAGAGATGCAAAATGAGAGGCTCCAAAAGTGAAGAGCCTTGTCTGAGGCTACAGGACAGTGCGAGAGTCCAGAGAGGGTCAGAACATGTGCCGAGGGGCAGGCAAGGGTCTCGGCCAGGTTGCCACAAGGGGGCGTGGAAGGAGGGCTAGTCCAGCAGTTGGATGTAGACAGGTACTGTACCACACTCTTTCAGAGGCTCATCCGACCAGTCCCGGCAATCCCTTTGAGCATCACACACTTTCCCGCCGTCCACGCACTCTCCACTCTTACACTGAAATCTGCGGGGACCCTCACACGTTGACTCTGTCGGGCCGGACAAGAGAGTGGACAGCAACCCGTGAGACCTTCAGCAGGGAGGGCTGGGCTGGTCCCATGGGAGGTCAGCAGAGCTCCAGCCCCAGCCCCAGTTCCCACTGGTCTCTAGAGGGTAGCCCAGGACAGACAGCTGAATACAGGGCTGGTGAGAGCTCTGCTCACAGAAGGAAGGACTCCAGAGATAATCAGAATTCCAGGGATGATACGGATGCCCAAGCATCATCTAGCTGGGCAGGGCTGGGGGTCTGTGTCCGATCTGGAAGTACTGGGGCTCCCAGAGGTAAAACCTGCAGCTCTACAGAGACCCTGGGGGCTGGACAGACCATCTCCTGGATAGGGGAGGCTGCCTCACCACCCAGTCTTTTATATATTTTCCTAGATGACCAGTGGGTCAGGGTCCTTGCTCTTGCAGGCGGTGAGTGATGACCAGAAAAGCCATCTGAGAATCTGCACAGCCTGGGAACTAGTGAGGGAAGCCACTTGGAGACTTGGACGTGGACAAATGGTGGGGACTGGACGTCCTGCAGTGCCCTTTCATGTCCCCCTAGGTTTCTTTCAGCTTTTTGGAAGTCCTTAACAATCTAGCTCTGGTACCACTAGGACTCCAGGAAGGGGCTCTGGGTGGTTTAGGGGAAGTGATGCTCTGGGGGAAGATGCATCTCAGGGACCAAGGTAAAGCAACTCCCAGCTCTGGTCTCTCCGGAGCCAGGGGCAAGCTCAGAGCTTTTCCTCAGAGGACACTGCCCCTCTGCTTCCAACCACACGCACCCTTCAGGCAGCCAGCTTCATCACTCCCATCTGGACAGTCCTGTTCCTGGTTGCAGCGCTTGATGGCAGGGACACAGGTCCCATCCCCACACTGGAACTCGTCTCCAGGGCAGGTCCCCAGTGCTGCCAGGAGAAGGCAAGGGGAAAGGGTCAGGGCCAATGTGGTGCTGGGGCAACTCGCCTCCCACACTCCCACCCCATATCCACCCCTGGCAAGAACAGAACCAGTGGCTGAGCATGGGAGTACTTGAAGGACACCTGACCTAGGCACTTGCAGTGTACAGATGGGGAGACTGAAGCTCAGAGAGGGAGAAGGCCTCACCCAGGGTCACACAGCACTTTGGCTGGCAGAGCCAGGACTAAAACTCAGGTCTCGTTTCCCCATCCATCACTTCTCCCCAGGGTCACCCTTCCAGAGCGGACACATGGCCTTCTTTTGAGTCTTGGTGCTCATGACTGAATGACTGCATCCTTCAGCAAACCCTTCCTGAGCACCCGCTGTGTGCCAGGCGTTGTGCCAGGCATGGGAACCCAGAGACTACTAAGAGCCTCCCATCTAGGAGCTCAGGGGTGCATAAGAGGGCTGAGGAATGAACCGAGGATGGCATCGCAGTGTGGAATGTGCTGAAAGAGAGGGTGGCTTGGAGACCTGCAAGAGCCTGGGGGGGAGACCCGGTCCAGCTGGGAAGCTCGGAGGAATCTGGGGGAGGCCTTGAAGGATGAGCAGGCTCAGCAGGTAGGGAGGGTGGGAGGATTTCCTGAGTGTACCAACGTCTCCGGGGTTGGAACCAGTGAGTGACTGGGAAGGGGTGGGAGGTATGACAGGGAGGGCATCATCGAAGGACACAGGTACCCATAAATACCCTTGGCGTCTGGAATTAGACCTGAGCTCCATAGCTTTGTAGCCATGTGACCTCAAACAAGTCACTTCACTTTTCCCAAACTGGGTCTCTGCCACAGTAAAACACGGTAATATCAGCAGGCGAGTAAAGGAAGATGGGCCTGGCGGACGCAGGGCGCATGGGCAGCGCGGAGCTGAGAGCTGCGGAGCTAGGCGCCATGAGGGGCGGGGCTTACGGCAGTCGGCCTCGTCCGATTTGTCCTTGCAGTCGTAGTCGCCATCGCATCGCCAGCCCGGGTGGATGCACTCGCCGCTGCGGCAGGCGAACTGGGAGGAGGCGGCGCAGACATCGGGGGCGGACGTGGTCCCCACAACCGCGCGGCCGCAGAGGTCGGCCGCCTCGTCTGAGCGGTCGTCACAGTCGAACTGGCGGTCGCAGACCCAGCGCCCGGGGATGCAGGCGCCGCTGTCGCCGCCGCAGCGGAACTCGTGGGGCCCGCAGTTCGGGTCATCACAACCAAGCTCGTCGCTGCCGTCGCCGCAGTCGTCGTCGCCGTCGCACACGAACACGGCGGCCAGGCAAGAGCGGTTGCCGCACCGGAACTCGTGCGGGGCGCACACTGCGCGGGACAGAGAGCAAGTCGGCCAGCCGGACCCTATCAGCAGCGACCCTGCCCGCTCGCTGATCCTGCTACAGGGGCCTTGACTCTCAGCTCTGGCCCAGAATGAGCCCTACTGGGGGGGCCCGAATAGTGGACATGCCCTCAGGGACAGCAATGGGGCTTACAAATCCAGGCCTGCCAGGGTCATGCAGGGTGACTTTGGGCATCACAGTTGCCCTCCCTGATTCTCCCCGGCCTCACTGGGATGGGAATTCCAGTCTTGCTGTCAGCAGAACGGTGGCACTAGGAGTCTCTAAAGCTGCAGAGTGCTGCCTGTCTTGACGAACTTTGTGATGTTTCTAGGAAATGATATGTAACATGACACTGACCCTTTCAGGGAACAAGGTCTGGGGCCATTTCCTTACAGCATAGAAGCTCTCCCCGGCCCCACCTCTTTTTTGCCTGAACTATCCCATCTAAGTCCCCTGGCATGGCATCCGAGGCCACTGGCATGGAGCCACTGCTCTGCCTCATTACCTGTCTCATTCATGCACACACCCTGGCTTCAGTCAGACTAGACCATTTGTACACATTCCCATCTCTGGGCCTTTTGCTCAAGCTGTTCTATCTGCTGGGTACACACCTCTTGCCCACCACTGTTGCTATACTTTACAATAATGAGTTCTCATCCTTCAAGGGCAAATTCCACCTCTTTCATAATACACTTCATATTCCCCTGCTTGGGAAGCCTCCCTCCACCTTTACTCTCCTGTCGGGTGCCCTTCACATCATGCTCAGGTGTCTGGGTCTCATGTCCTTCTCTGTCTGCCCCATGACCGAAAATTGCCATGGAGACTGTCTTCTAAGTCTAACCCAGCATTGTCCTGAGGGCCTAGCACCGAGCTCCCTGCAGTGGTTGGGTGTGGTGTGGATGAATGCTGGACTAGCCCAGGTGTGAGGAGTAATTTAGGGATGTGCAGTAAGTAGTTAAGGGCAAAGGTCACTGGCCCTGCCTGAGGGCCTTGGGCTTCCCCTGTCTGGTGAGTTGCTCTGAGCTCAGAGGCTGGGAGGACCTTAGAGATCACCAGTCCAGCTTCCAGTTTATATATGGGGAGACTAAGGTCCAGAATGGGGAGCAATTTTCCTAAAGACACACAGTCAGTCCAGGGTGACAAGGGAATCAGAACCCTTCCTTCCAACTTGGACTCCTCCCGGCTTTTTGGTTTTCTCCGGGAGTGTACACTTCCTGGAGTGTAAGCTGTTTCTAGAGCTGATCTTGCCTCCTTTCCTCTTTCATTCCTTACACATAGGCCGAGAACAGGCCCTGAGGCTCAGGTGGGACATGCATGGATGGAGGGGCAGTGGACACTGGTAACGCGCAGGTGGCAGCATCAGATCTCTCCACGTGGGGGCGCCCAGTGTCTGTGTTCTTATTTTCTGATGGAAAAATGTCTTTTTGTTTTCATTGTTATTGAGCATAAAATAAAATGATGTCTTCAGTTTCACAGTGTAGGCAGCTCATGTCATGTGTTGCTGACAGGTCTATCAAGTTTCTGACAGATGCATTTTTTTCCCCTTCTGGGCTTTTGGGATGTTGGGGCATTGGTAGGAAAAGTACACACTACCCTGTGATGTTTGCCCTGCAAGATTATGCTGATGCCTAGATTAGCTCCCCTCCTTCCTGTCCAGACTCAGCTTGTACATGTTCAGGAAGGGAGGACTCACTATGGTCAGAGTACTGGGAGGAAGTGCTTCTTTATACTGAGTTCTCTCCAAGGTTTTGAAGGTGACAACAACCTTCAGATCTCTGTTCTCAGGCCTGTGCCCTGAGACCCCACTCCCAGCATTCACACATGGAAGAAGCTCTGAAGGATGAAAGAAGGGAGCATTCTTTTCCCTTTGCGCAGGTGGTTAGGAGCTGTAGGAAAGACCCCCCACTAAGACCTTCTAACACCCCTAACTGCTATAATTAACAAGGAAATTTCCTGCCACAACATGCCCTAGTTAGAGCTATTCCCACCTGTGAAATAGTGGACGATGGCCTCTATGACAGAGGAAACATCTGATTAGAGGGGTGAGGAATGACAAGGAGTCTCATTGGCTGATGGGGCTCTACAAAATTATCACAGCTGAAAAAACGAGCCAGTGCCAGTAGGGCTTTGCAACTGCTGGCCCCAGCCAGGATCTCCCGCTATACCCAGATGCTTCCTGCTTCAGATACATCCAAACTCCAGACTTAGAATCTTAAGAGTGCTGTGACTCAGAGGCATCCAGAGGAGATGGGATCTGCCCTGGGCCGGGAAGGATGGATAAGTTGCGAATACAGAGGCTGGTGGAGGGAGTGGGGTGGAAGACAGTGGTGGGCAAGTGCCTGGCAAAAGCTCTTGAGTGACCACCCATACATATCTCAGCCCAGCCTCGCAGCTTAGTTATTGACAGCCAGTCTGTCTGCCCCATTAATCATAAGCTTCCAGAGGGAGGACTGTGCAGGATTCGCCTCTTTGTCCCTTCCAGATACTGGCTCCAGGCCTAGAACACAGTAGGTACCCATCGAATTGAAATGAGCGTGGCCCAGCCACAATCCCCACTGGCCCAGGACCTGCTGGCCTGCTCCCTGGGAAGGAGATAATCCTGTGTTTGAAGCTCAGTGACATGGAACTGTCCCAGTGACCACTTCCATCTGTCCCTGCTGAAGCTGCTGGGGATGTCTTCCCAGCATTTGACATTTGCGCTCAAATCTGAGATTTCAGAAACAGTCATCCTCCACACCTCAGGAATCCGTCCCCTTCCCCACCCCCCAACACTGCCAGTGCCCTGGCCCAGGCCACCAGCATTTCTTGCTATGGCCCCCTGCCTGTTCTCCTTGCCCTCTCTTGGAAATCAGTAGAGACCTGGAATGGATGAGCAAATGTCAGGCATGGTAAGAAAAACTCATGGGCTTTGCTGTCCAGACCTGAATTTGAATCTCAATTCTATCACTCAGCCTTGGGTACTTTTCCTCGCTTGTCTGAGTCTCAGTTTCCTCACCCATAAAATGGGAATGATAATGGCTTCTTGTGAGGTGGTTGTGAAATGAAGAAGAAAATGACTCCAAAGTGCCTGGCCATCACTAGTGTTCTGATCATCACACTTTCCTCTCCACTGACCAAGTTCCCTAGGACTGCCTGACCATGCTGGGCAGACCTGGGATCTGACCCCAGACTCACAGATGGCACAGCCGGCCTCATCTGCTCCACTCTCGCAGTCCTTCTCTCCATCGCAGCGCCACGAGGCGGGCACACACTTGTGGCTGGTGGGTCCACAGCTCAGCTTCTCTGCAGGACACACTTGCTTGGCTGTGAAGACAGACACGTGTATGGCTTAGCCAATGGGAATACGGGGCATGGCGCCAACAAGTCCTACTGCCTGTCCCTAGTCACCTTGCCAAGGCCCTGGGAATCTATCAGAGACTTCCTGTTCCATGCTCAGTTTCTTCATCTGAGAAGAAGCCCCTGCCTGCTCCGAATCCTACATCTGACTCCACTGCTGCCTTGCCTAACACCCTTTCATGGCCTCCTGGTCCCTGGTACTCAAGCTGCTCCTTGATCTGGCCTCACTGGCTCCACCTCCCACCCCTCCAAACCTCCCCGTTAAGCTCCAGCAACATAGAGCTGCCATGCCTTGCGTGCAACTCTGCCATTTCCTAGCTGTGTGTCCTTGGGCAAGACATACCCCAGTTGGGCCTTGGTTTGCCTTCCAGATCAGTGACTCCATGATCTGAACTTCTTACTCTGAAGTGCTCACTAAGCCCCCAACAGCTGCCTGGGTACAACACACTTCCTCCGAGCCCCTCCCCTGGTAATGGTGCTGAGCCTGCTGCTGAGAGCAGCTGCCACGTGGCAGGGCCCAGCGGGACCTCACAGCTATAATTACTGCAGCTGCAATCAGAGGCTGACTCAGTCAGGAGCCCGAAGCCCCAGGGTTGATTCTCAATTTAGAAGAATGAGAACTCTGATCAGGGCTGGGGATGGCTCTCACCCTGAGTGGCCCACGTGACAGATCCAGCTAAGCCAGACACATCTCTGACCTTGGTGGCTGGCTCCTGACTGCCTTTCAGGGTGTACAGGAGGCTTGAACTCAGTGATCTCTAGGATGTGCCGGGCACAGTCTTAGTCTTCACAATAACCCAGCAGGGTGTGGATTACGTTATGGCCTCCAGCATGGAGGTCAAGGGCATGGGCTCTGGAGCCTGGCTGCCTCGGTTCACGTCCTAGCTTGGTCACTCATTGGCTGCTATCTACCATGGCCAACAGTCCTTATCTCTGTGCCAATAAAGTGGGGGCTAATACTACTCCCTATCTCATAGGATTGCTATGATGAGTAAGTTAATGTCTGGAAAGCACTTAGGAGAACACCCAGTTCAGTGAGCACTAATGATACCTATTGTTCTCCACATGTAACAGATGAGGACTGGCTTATTCTCTGAGTGTGTATCTACTGAGCACTGCTGTGCATCAGACACGGTGGGAAGAACAGAGTGAGGACTCGGAGTCAGCTGTGTCTGATACCAGAGACTAGGCACAGTCCATTGCACCCAGAGGCAGTGGGCTACTGTTGCCTGACCCTCAGTTCTTCTTTGATCTCAGACCAGTTTGCTTTCCTCTTACTTCCACAGCTGTGATGAGAGGTCTCAAGGGATGGAGAAAAGGGCACAGACAAGATGGGGTGGGGGACAGATGTCTGAATCCAGGTCTCTAAACACTACTGTGCCATAGGAGACGAGTTCCTTAGACCCAAGTGTGGACCCCATAGTTATCCCCAAGAATACATTTCATGAAACAGAAGGCAGCCCATTGGAATATGGGATTCACAGGATTCCTTTTTACAAAGATGTTCCTTTATAAATGACTGTCCGGTGGAGCCCTGGAAAGTACTAACACTCAAAGGCCTTTTATAAAGGCCACCTCGGGGCTGCAATAGAGGGTGGTAAAGAGCCCAAGACTCGGGAGGTGGGGCCCTTCCAGGGTACCTCTGTCACCAACACACTATGGGAGCTCAGTAAGCACTTCCTCTTCTGGGCTCCCCAGAACACGAGGGAGCTTAAGCCAACTAGCGTTTCCCAGCGTCCTGACTAAGGGGTGGGATATGGGGCTATTAGAAATGCAGGCTCCTGGGCCCCAGCTCATACTAGACTGAATCCAGACTTCAGGGGCAGAGCCCAGGAATCTGCATTTTAGTAACTCCCCCTACCCGCCAGTGGTTCCCATTTGAAAACCCCCAGGTTATCATCCTGCAAGTCCAAAGCTTATCGGATATTTCATCTCTTTTAAATTCACTCCCAAAAAAGTGATATCAGTGTCCTGTCGGTTGGTAAGCCCCTGAGAGAACAATGGGATGGAGGGACAAGGCAACCATATATCCCTGAGCCAGGCCGGGAAACAACCTCACAGGGGAGTTGAAAGGAAGCCATACTTACTGAGCACCTACAGTCTATCAGGCTGCTCCATGCTGAGGATTTGATATTTTCCGATTTCCCACTTACCCTCACCCTGCCAGGTAAACAGGCCCTGCAGGCTGTAAATGCAAACTCCGGGGGTACCATTCATCAAGATCATGTCAGCAGCACCCCTGGAGTGGAGCAGGGCAGTGGTCCTTCATCCATTTTGCAGATGAGGACAACTGAGGTTCAGAGAGACCAAGTAATGTCCTAAAGATGCACAGCAGTGAGAGGCAGAGTCCAGGCTCCTCTGATTAGAGCCCTGCCCTTTCCATCAATCCCCACAAGCTTCTACGATATATGTGGAGAAGTGATCCAGAGCCAGGCCCAAATTCTCCACTCAAAAGCCCAGGTGACTGAAGTGTCTCTTGACTGTCTGTACCACCTCCTAGGGTCCGGTTCTGCAGACCCTAGTGCAGCAGGCAGCCGCTTGAACCTTTAATGAATATTTATACAGTTAATTGCATAACCTTTCAGCAAGGACAATGATTAAACAATCCATCTGCTTCCTTTCTTTATAATTAATAAGACATTTGCTGTGTCCCTAAATAGACAGCTCTAATTACAGGCTCTCGAGGATTCAGAAATGCCTGACACCAGCCCTCCTGCCCTCAAAAAGCCACGGCAGTCTTGGAATGCCAGGACACGAGAGTCCTTGGAGGGTCACATCGAGGAATAGCCACTGGAGTGACAGGAGACCGAGGCCCAGAGAGGGGAAGGGATGCTGGGTGTTCCAACTGCCTAGCTCTCCTGGAGCCTCAGTGTCTCTGTTGTGATGCAGCTCTCCCCCAAAGCCAGGATGCAAGCCTTGCTCTCCGGGCTCACAGGCTTAGCCCGGGGAAGTTGGTCTGGGTCCGTGTTGACATGCAGTATCTCCTTATGAGGTGGGTACTATCATTACCTTCATTTTACCCACGAGGAGAGCAAAGCCCAGAGATAGTAAGTCATCTGCTCAAAGTCTTGCAGTGAGGAGCAGAGCTGGACTTCCATCCCAGGTCTCGACTCCAAACGCACTGCTTGACTTATTGTACTTAACCATAGCACATGAGAAGAGCAGGGCCCATCAGTTCTCCTCCCTCCCCCTGCCCACCCTCTGTCAGTCTCCCTGGCATCTCTGAGATTTACAGGGGTCACTGGAGGAAGGAGGCTCACTGGGCCTCTGCTCAGGCAGGGTCTGCAAGGTGGCAGATGGCAGTGTGATGTCTGCTTTCAGGATGGCTGAAGCCAAAGGCCCCAGGTAGCACGATGCAGGAGACAACATGGGTTTTGGAGTGGGACAGACCTGGGTACAAATCTCATTTACTAACAGGAAGGCCCTTCAGCAAGTCACTTAGCCTCTCTGCACCCTGCTTCTCCTCATCTGAAAATGGGTTACATAATCTTCTAGGTTTGGTGGGTGGTTTAAATGGGGAAACACATGGAAATCCTACACTCAGAGCCTGGAACAAACTCGGAGCTCAGGAAATAATTGCCCTTGTTTTATTTCATGAAAGACAAATGCAAAGGCCTGGGAGGGCCCTGGTCTCACCCACTGGGGATTTACATTATCATAGTTCACATGGACCACCATGAGGCAGCCCCACCCTGGAACACTTTCTCTCTCTCTCTCTCTCTCTCTCTCTCTCTCTCTCTCTCCTTTCTCTCTCTCTCTCTCAGATACATGCCCAAGGGATGCCTTGGGCCTGCTGTCCAGGTATCCTCAGGCTCTGAGAAGCAGGATGAAAGACCCACCATCTCCATCAGGATTCCTGCCCAGATGGCAAGGACCTGACACTGCATCCTGGAGTGGCTGCAGGCATTGAGAAATTCCCAGAGAATCCTGCCCTAGAAATTCAAACCCATGGGTACTTTCTCTAATTCATAAGTTCACCAATTAATAAAAAGGGAAATATCTGTTGAATACAAGAATGAAAGTGCTTGACGGCTCCTTATTGAGCGAGCACATCTGCAGTGTCAGGTCATGTGAGGATTAGGGGCAGACAACCTCTTAATGGGGACTGCCAGCTCCAAGGAGACCAGAGCTCAGGCAGTGGGAACTCAGATGCTGCCCCAGGAAGCACATCCACCATGCAGAAGGGGGCAGTTACACCAAGCTCCTTCACACAGGGTCAGGCAAAGTACTTGTACCTGGGTCAGCCCCTAACCTGGTGGGTGATCTCAGAAAATCTCTGGGCTTTCATCCACCTCCTGACCTATTATAGGAAGGTGCACTTGGTATATCGGTGAGGTTCTTTTCCCGGTGGAAAGGTTCTAAGACACAGGAATAAAATCCCATTTTCAATAAGCAGCACCCAGAATTGTAACTCATTTACCTTGAACAAATCTCCCTACCCTAACCCCCACTCCCAACAGATGCCTAAAGGTGGGTCAGAAGCTGTCCCCAATCAAGTGAGCTATAACCTCCCTGGCAGTCTGATTATGTCAGTAATTTTGTACCCAAAGCGGTACATTGTTCTGCATGGAAATTTGTTGTTTTATATTGTAGACCTGTAATTCTTAGGAATTACTCACTTAAAACTTAAATCTGTCCAAACAAGAGTCTAGTTGGCATCCCAGGTATGATAAAGTTTGAAACACAAAATCATAAATTATAATATAATAAATAATTATAAAAAATAATATAATTTTATTCAATAATGTAATCAAATAAAAACCACTGCAATTTGCCATCGGCCGGCGTTCTCGTCGGCGGTCGGCGATCACAGGAGGACACCGCAGGATCGCAGGGAGCAGGTAAGGGACTTCTCTAGGACTCTGCAGTGTAATCCCGAGTGTGGCTCGGGGTTACTGTTTCTGGCAGTGAAAATTCACCCCGAGCCACACTCGGGGATACCGCTTCTGGCAGTAAAAATTCACCCTGAGACACACTCGGGGTTACCGCCAGGGTAGATAATTAGAGCAGAACTGTTGCTTGCATTAGGCAAATGTCCGGGGCTTTCCTACGTGACTCCAGGCTATCGCTGATAGGCACAGAATCCAGAGCCAGAAGGAAACAGAGCTGGAAGGAACCCTAGCAAGCTAGGGGCAGATAACACAAGAATAAGCACCCAAATCCCTTTCCTTGTTCATGCAACACCCCCCTTACTTATACTGATCGATGATTTTTAATTGGTGTATGTCCAAGGGAGGGCCTGGAGTAAAAATACAATAATAAAGGTAACACTGCCAATTACTCCAGCACTGACAGTTTGTGTGCATTTTTTTCATTTGATCCTCATATCCCTTGTAAGGCAGGTACCATGACCCCATTTTACAGATGAATAAACTGAGACTCAGGGAGATTGGGCAACTTGCCTGAGGTCTCGCAGGTTAAAGGACCTGAACCCAAATACATCAAACACCAAACCCACTACACTTTATTACTGCCTATAATCTTTCTTTGAAGGTGGGGAGGGGGCTCTATCCCGGGAGCTGGCACAGTCCCCAGAAACCTGGTAGACTGTGAAGGTTGCTATGGCAATGCCAATTAAATGGGCAGCGGGTTGGCTGCCGGGTTCCCATTCGGTCAGGAAGCTGTGAGCAAGCCTGCTACCAAGTCCTGCTGCCCTCAATTCTGCTGAACCCTCGAGGTCCCACCCTGGGCAACCTCCTTCAGACAGCCCTCCCCACCCACAGGCTTTGCCTACCTCTGGCTCGGGTCCAGCTGGGTACAGGCAAGGGAGGAAGAGGGCCTCAGAATCCTAAGAGTTCAGGAATCTTAGAACCATGGTCTTTGGAATTCTGGAATGTTAGAAACCAGGGCCCGGACAGGGGCAGGAAAGTGTGCAGGACCTCCCAGCAAATCACTGGGAGAGCCCAGACAGCTGGGCCTCCCGACTCCCTGGATGCAGCATTGGCTGCTGCTCCCACAGGGCACTTTGTCAAGCCTCAGCGAGCCTGTGGAGCCTGCCTGTTGTCATGGAAGGCAGACTAGCCAGGAACAACCTGTGTGTCTTAGAAGCAAGGCCCTCAACTTCTCTAGGCCTCCAGTTATTTGGATGTCAAATAACAGTGCCTCAGAGCTGGGCAAAAAGTGGGCCTGGGAGGCAGGAGGGGTGAGGCCAGAGGGCCCCTGCGCAGCCCCAAGGATGGGAAGGCAGCAAGTGCTGGAGAGGCAAAAGGGAGAAAGACAGGGAAAAATAGGGCTGGGAGCAGAGATTGAGAGAGGGAGGGGAAGGGTGACAGGCAGGTGGGGAAGGGAGGTAGCCCAAGACAGCAGGGGTGGGCAGGACCCTGGTGGGGCGGAGGCAGGAAGATGAAAAGAGACACCAATACAAAGAGAGGCGCGGGGAGAAGGGGAGCACAGCTCGCAGGCAGCAGGACAGACCCCGATAATACCCGTGATGAGGCTCTGCTCCCCTCCTTTTCTGCCCCCAGTGTCCAGGGTAACTGCTAGAGTGGCTCCCGGATGGCCGAGCTGACTGACTGCGATGGTGGAAAAGCCCCCACAGCCACAGCTCTCTTATCCTAAAAGCACACACCGGGCTGCACACAACTCTGCCCCTTGTTAGCTGGGTAGCCTCGGGCAACTGGCCAAACCTGTCCCAGCCTCAGTGTCCTTCTTTTTAAATGGGGACCCACCCCCCTCTCAAGGTTGCCGTGAGGATGAGAGTCACAGTGGGTGTGGCTGGGCTTTGCTCCTTTGGAAGCTAGCTGTGCCCTGCACAGGCAAATCAGGATAGTTCTGGGTTTGGCTACTTGGTGGGATGAGGAAAGGATGGGGCCTGTGGCATGGCAGGGAAAGCAGGGCCAGCAAGCAGTACAAGGAAACAAGGGACAAGGGGTGGGGGGGGACGACACGGGACTCTGTCGCAGGCAGGGGTTGCTCTTGCACTCTTGCATGAGCTAGCGCTCGCGCTCTCTCTCTCTCTCTCTCTCTCTCTCTCTCTCTCTCTCTCTCTCTCTCTCTCTCCCTCCTCCCCCCCTTCTCTTTCTCTCACGCAGAGACTGGTAGCTCTGTTGCTAGGAGACAAGGAAACCCAGTTATCACCAGCCGCAGCCCTAGATGGGACTAGATGGGACTAGATGGGACTCTGGCCTCCATTGTCCCTGCCTCTGCCTCTGGGGTGACCATGACCCCTATTGAGGACCTAGGACTGTGACTCGCAGGTCCTCACCAGGCCCACCATCTCCCACGTGCTCCCCCCGCCCCCCACCCTGCTGCCTTTTGTCTCAGGCTCACTGTGCTAAAGCTCTGCCCCTAAGACCACTGGGTCCTTACCCACCCCCTTCTCATCTCCTTTTTAATTTAACAAATGTCACAGAATGACCTGCAGGGTGTAAGTTTGCTTTGAGGATTAGGGCCTAGAAAAGAAATCACAGAAAGACAAAGCCCTGAGTGCCAGAGGTGGGCCTGGGGCTTGGCTACAGCCTTCCGGGCTCTGTTTTTCTGCCTTACCCCTGGCTGCCTCTGCTGCCACCCAATCTGCCATGGAGGCTGGGGCTCCTGGGCTCAGCCAGTCCAGGGCAGAGGAAAGAGCTGAGGCCTCAAAGTCCTGGCTGGGTAGCCTTGGGCAAGTCACACAACCTCTCTGAGCCTCAGGTGTCCCCCTTTGCAAAATTCAGAAAGTGACAGTATCTGCACCTCAGGAGGCTGCTATGGGGATAAGATGAATTAATGTAGACAAAGAGCTTAGCACAGTGCCTGGCACACAGTACATGCTTCATAAGCACCAGCTGCCATTAGTACTGGTAGAATTATGATTAGAGTCCTCAAAAAAAGAAAAACAAATAGTGAGGGAGGCTGAGGGGAGGCCTGGGGGATTTGCTGTGGTTACTTTTGAGCCAAGGGCTCAAAGGGGCTGTTTCTAGCTCCTGGTACTACAGGAGCAGGGCCCAACATGCAAGAGAGCTGTGAAGAAAACCCAGAAACAAGAAACCAGCGATGAGATTCACCTGGCTGTTTGCCAGGAGCTCCTGAGGGTGCAGCACAAAGTGATTGTGGGGTTGTGTTCGACAGATCACCTCACTTGAGCCTCCCAACCTCCCAATAAGGAAGATCTGATGAGGAAACTAAGGCCCAGAGCAAGCCCCCCCTCCCTGCCCCCAGCCAGAGGGGCAGGACTCACTGCAGGTGGCCTCGAACTCATCAGAGCCGTCAGAACACTCCTCCTCGCCATCACACTTCCACCGCTCGGGGATGCACTGGCCGTTGTCACAGGTGAAGTCGTTGTCCATACAGGTCTTCTTGGCTGTGGGGTAAAAAGAAGAGTGTGAGGGACCTGGTGGGCACACAAGGCTGTTCTAGGATAGTCAGGTGACCATGGGGTGACCAGAACATGCTGGACCTCCCATAGACCCACAAGGCCATAGGCTGTGCCACCGACCAGGAGGAGAGGACAGGAGAAAAAAGCTTATTCATCCATAGACATTTACAGAGCACCAGGTGGAGATAGGTGACAACTGGTCCTGCCCTCCAAGTCCAGATAGACCAAGAGAATCCACCAAGAGAATGCCAGTTCCCCTGTCACATCTCTCTCTGCCCACAAAGTCCAGTTCCACTGTCATGGCCTCCAGGAAGCCTTCCCTGATCACCTACAGCAGCTGCTTTAGCCCCTTTAGCCAGTGCTCAGTCCCTTTACCTGCCTGTCCTGCCCCCCGCAACCAGACCCAAGTCGAGGCCCCTTCTGTAAGCACCGATGAGCTGGTGATAATAAATCCTAAAACCAAATGATTACTTTGTGGCAAGATTAATGAGGTATCATCTGTTCAGAGGGGTGGAAAGAGAATTTACTGGGCAAGACACCCAAATCAGTCTTCGCCTCCAAGGTGCTTCCAGTCTGGAGGGGTAGGCCTCCACATGGGCAGTTTGAATCCCAGCCCTGCCTCTTTCTATCTGTCCTTGGGGTTGTTACTTAACATCCGAGCCTCTATTTTCTTATCTCTATAATGGGAAGAAGGGAACAAAGGGCTTTGAGGAGGAGTAACAAGAAGTCATAATGTTCTAAAGAACTTGCAGCAGAGCTCCTGTCACATAGCAGATGCTTGGTAGGTAGCAGCTATTGCTGTTTTTATGGTTTGAGTCTTAATTAGAAGCAAAGGAAAAGGGGTGTTCTGTGCCCTCACAGGAGACATATGTAGCAGGCTGAGATCTCACAGCTGCTACCAGAACTGAGACAAAAATGCAGGGACCAACATGGTTTGCTCTTCTCCCTGCCCCTCCATGGGCCTGACGCTCCTCCAGTGTAGGGACTATGTCACATTCAGCACCAGACCCAGCTTGGGGTAGCTCTCAGTGGGGGCACTGAACCCAGTGGAAACAGCAGCCCAGCCTCTGCTCGCACCCCTCCAGAGCCAGGGCTCCCCGTCTCCCTAGAAGCTCCTTCCCAGTGGCCAGCCTTGGATTATGTATATCCCCCCCACAGGCCCTCTGACTGCCTCGTGACGGCACCCTGCCCTCAGCAGCCTGGCAGGGACCTGGGCAGGACAGACACTGGGTCCCCTGAATCCATTCAATTTCTGCCTTTCTTTTCAATGAAATCCTTGCAGTATATCCGCATTCTAAGATGAGTTTTCTTCACACTCTGTCTGTGCAGGGCTAGAAGAAACCAGAGGAATCAGAACCCACCTCTGGATGGAGCCTGAGGCGGAGAGGGAAAGGGGCTGGCCCAGGGAAACAGCAAGGCAGGGATCGGAACCAGCTTTCTGGACTCCCAGTCCAGAGTCCTGAGCAGCCCGTCCCTGAGCCCTGTGCCATGGGGTCATTATAGGTAATAGATACCAATACCGCCTTTTGCTAAATCACGACCCATAATCATCTGAAAGTGAGGATGGTTAGGAGCCACAGCACCTGGGGCATTTCCTAACATGAGCCCCGGAGCGTTCCCTCCACCAGACACTCAGCATCCAGAAAAGAAATGTATATTCCAGTGCTTTCTTTTTCCTGTTCTAACACTCTCCAAGTAGATTCTGTGTGCCAGTCTCTGTGCTAGGTACTTTACGAGGAAACACCACGAAAAAGGGCCCGTGATGTCCCCACTTGACACATGGAAAAAATCCAGGCCCGGGGGTGTTAATTTACATGCTCAAGATCACATCTAGGCGGGGAGCAGGGCCACAATTTGACCTCACAGTCAAAGATGCCCCTGGTAGCTGCTGTTAATCCCATTTTATAGAAGAGAAAATTAAGGCTCAAAGAGGTGAGGATATAGGTAGCAGAAGTGGGATTTTAATTCCATGTGGCAGCTGCCAAAGCTTAGGCTCCCTCCACGAAGGCCCTCAGCCACCTTAGCAATACCAGGCTAAGAATAAGCAACCCAGAGAGGCAAATGCAGTGTGACTAGGCCCCAGGGCTCACAGGACATGGCAATGGGGCAGATCAGCCACAGCCCAGAAATACCTGCGTGCGGTGTTTCCTTTGAATGTGCCGAGTGTGCAGCAGAATAAACCTGGGCCTATGACAACCTGGGCCCTCCTAATGGACTGTCCTGGGGAAACTGAGGCAGCATAGCCACTTTCAGGTTTGGGATTTGATGGGCTGTGTCTGAAGTGTAATTATGTGGAAAGATTTGGAGTCAGAGCTGAGACTGAATCCTGGTAAGCCCACCTCCTCTCTGGGTGACTCTGGGCACGTTCCTTCCCTTTCTGGGCAAGTGGGGATGGTGGCTTTCCCATGCAGCACTGACATAGGGACAAAAGGCAAAAGGCTTTCCCCAGGGGATCAGAGTAAGCATCCCAGTGCTGGGTTGTTCAGTCTAATGAGCCCGACAGCCCCTCATCAAAAGGCTACATCAGTCCTGCCAAGAGATGAGGGCTGGGCAGTCTTTCGAGGCTGTCAGAGCAAGCCATGCCAGCCCCCACTCTCCTGGCCTTGGCAGCCATGGTTCCAGCTCCCAGGGTGATTCCCCAGCTGGGCTCAAGGCCGTGGCTCCCTGTTTCCAGGGATTCATGTCCCTTCATGCTAGTCGCCCCTTGGACAATGCCCACCTCTGTGAATCCCTGTACTCCACAGTCCAGGAGTAGTATATAGTCATGCAGGGTCTGCGACATCATAATCTGGTGCCATGGCAACAGATGAGCTGCCACAAAGGACTTCAGGATTCCAGAGGGCAGTGGGGAGGGGCCCATCCCAGGGAAGAGTGGGGGAGAATGGGAAATCCAGGACAAAGAGAGTGGGAGTTGCTATTTACAATAAGAATGCTGGCCAAGGAAAGCATCAGACAGTCATCCATGGTCAATCAAACTCTGCTCTGCCACTTGTGGGCTGTGTGACCTTTTCCTAGTTATACAACTTCTCTGAGCCTCACTTTCTTCATTTGTATTCAAGGATATTATCCCTGCTTCACCACACAGGGTTGTGGTGAGGAGCAAATGGGCTAACGGTGGTGCCGGGGCATAAAATGAAAAGCATAAACATGCAAGTTTGAGGTGTGTGACGTCAGCAGCCCCAGCTGCGGTGTGTATGACATTGGGTCCATCAGTCACATTGGGCCTGCTTCCTCATCTGGAAACAGAGGTGTGGTGCTCACTGAATCTTAAGCCTCTCTCCATGCCAAGTCTATGATCTTGTGAAATTATTATGATCATTCAGCACCTCCTAGCTTTCCCGCCCCCAGAGGCGTCCTTCCCTGAGACAAGGTGCATCCTTCGCACTATTGTCCCCCACCCACGCTCACCCCGCAGCCCCAGTGCAGACAGGAGTTTCAAAACAAAGATGAGTCAGGGCTGCCAGGTGGAGCTGCTCGGCGTGGCTTCCTCTTGGCAATCACAGTGCTCTGTCATGTCGGGGCCTTGAAGGCCCCTACATAGCTCTTCCATTCTGTAAGTCAGAAAACCAGGGCCCAGAGAGATGTAGCTGCTCAAAGTCACAGCACATGTCCATGGGAGGGCTGCACCTGAACGCAGGGATTCTGACTCCTGGTCCCACAGCGTGGCCAGGAAGCCAGAGGGGGGGCCACCTGACCCAGCCAAGGGGTCAAGGAAGGCTTCCTGGAGGAAGGGACCGTGTTTAAGGACGAAGAGTCAGCCAAGCCATGGGAGTGAGGAGAGTGATGAAGGGCATTCCAGGGTAAGGGCTAACAGGGTCTGGGGCATTGAGCACAACGGCCATGCAGGGCTGGGGACCTGGGAGCTCCACTAGGCCAGGGCCCAACTCACCCTGCCTGGCACAAAGCTACCCCTCAGAGAGGCCCAGCGCGGGGGCCTGGCTTTTCCTGAGTTCACCCAGAGACTCACCCAGCCTCTACGAAGCACGGGGCTGCTGTTTAGCAGCCAACAAAACCCAAGCTCCAAGCTGCTAGGGCTTCCTTCAGGATTTCCTAGCAGAGGGCAGGGCAGAGAGGGGCAGGGCTGAGGGGGGGGGGTGGCACCCACCAGATGTTTGGGATTAGACACTTATTATTTCTCCCCCTGGAGATTCATGATGCCCATTGGCTTACTAAAAGCCCTAAGAAAGCCTACAGCACAGACATAGAACTGACTTTATTTCCTCCAGCACTTCCCAAACTTGTTTAACCAAGGAACGTTTCTTTTGGTTGCCATGTCTGTGGTTCATTGGACCATCGTGTGGTCCAATGAACCACACCCAGGGGAACACCACTGTCATGCAAGCCCCTGATTCTACAGATAAGAAGATGAGGCTCAGAGAGGGGACGGACTGGCCTATGGTCACACAGCAGAGGCTGGTACCCAACCTTCTATCTCTGGGCCGGCTCCACCAAGCCATGACAAATAGGAGAAGGTGTTCACAGAGCACGTGGCCCAGAGTGAAGCGGAGGGAACACCACTGGGGAGACCCCAGTCCTTAGAGCACGGACACGTTCAGAGGACAGCCCGGGATGGGGGAAGGGGTTGATACCAGTCCATGTGGGATAGGGAGATGAGACAGATGTCAGGAATGCAGATTCTGTCTGCCCTCAGATTTCTGCAGACAGGTCGTGGGCCCCAGAAAATATTCTATGAGGGCAGAGGCCGGCAGTCAAGGTCGATTCCAGCTCAACATTATTGTTGAGTCAGTTGGGGCAGGTGAGAATCTGAGACAGCAAAGATGTAATGCCCCACCTTGGAACCCACTGCACAGAAGGGACTAGTTTGCTCCCATTTCCTCTCCCAGGCCTGAACCAGCACTGGGTGGCCTGGCTCTGGGAGGCTTGGTTCCGCCCCCATAGCCTAACTAAACCTAAGGCAGCTGGGCCACTTGTAGCAGAGTCGGGGAGATGAAAGGACTGCTCCCCCCCACCGTTACCCTTCTGCA